GATCCCATTAGAGCAGTCGCGGGCATCACATAGTCGAGGATCGTTGGTGGCGTGGCCCACTGGCTTGCCAACTTCTTCAACTGGACCCGTCCTCACGGTCTGAACATTCAATCAATAAACTAGCTAAATATTAACTCATTAACTAACTACGTATATACTTAGTTAGTTGACGAATTCTCTGATCATGTAAACATTCCAGTTAGTCAAGTAAAGAACAAATTGTTAATGAATTACCCAGTTATGTAAGTAAGTAAGTAAGTACGTAAGTAAGTAAGTAAGTAAGTAAGTAAGTAAGTAAGTAGCTGATCACATATATATATATACAGTGTATAAACAAATATGATTATAATATACATATACATATACCTGCGAATAAACAAAAATGAAATATGTGTGTATATATGTATGTATGTATGTATGTATGTATGTATGTATGTATGTGTGTATGTATGTAGGTATGTACGTACATATGTATGTCTGTGTGTCTGTATGTATGTATGTACGTACGTACGTACGTATGTATGTATGTATGTATGTATGTATGTATGTTTGTATGTATGTATGTATGTATGTATGCAATTAATGTATGTTTGTTTGTTTGTAGGTATGTCGGTAGGTAGGTAGGTAGGTAGGTAGGTAGGTAGGTAGGTCCAGGTAGGTAGGTAGGTAGGTAGGTAGGTAGGTAGGTATGTATGTATGTACATACGTATGCATGTATGCATCTATGAATGCATGTGTGTATGTATGTATGCATGTATGTCTGGGATGGATGTATCTGTGTATGTACATATACATATGCAGCGATTTGATAGCAACATTTTCTGCAGGACCAGGCGGCCGAAAAGTGCGCCAGGACCTACCCAGGTGCTTCGGAAACGAACGTGGGAGCACAGGCTGTGGGAGTGGGAGGGCCAGCTTTTGCTTTGGTCGCCAGGCTCTTCTCAGACGACAAAAGCGCGCGGAGTCAGAGGCCTTTTTCTGTTCCCAGTTTTAGGGTCCCATACTTGCCGCTTGACTCCTTAAGTCCTCATTTTCCACTTGGGCCAGTCGTTGTGGAGCTTCTGCCTACCTTGTGCGAGTTGCGACAGAGCCCCTGAGCACAAAAGTTCACAGCTCCGAGACCAAGGGTCTTCCGAGATAGCCACCAAGCCGGAAAGGCATGCCCATGGTAGTACCGGCCACGACAGTGGATACAGGAGCAGCAGCAATCGTTCGTTTTCGCAGCATTCGTCATGTAGTGACGCCGGCTTGCACGATTACCAATCACAGGAGTAGTTGCAGTGTCCATAGCACTATGCCACTATGTAGGTGAACGTGATGGTGGCAGGGAGAGCTGCACCTGTAGGAGCAGCGCTGCTCCTGCCACTACCCCTCATATCTCTGCCCCCACATTTCTGCACTACATGTTTTGGCAAGGCTGCGGAGGCGAGGAAGATGTTCAAACGAGCATCGCAGTTCTTCGTCAACACGAGAGTGGCTGGTCGAACTGTTTCAGTGTCCGCACTCTTTAGCCTGTTAATGATCGCAGTCAAGAGAACGCCGCTGCTACTTGATTCTACTTGTTCACCGTGGCATGAAGGAGTCAGTCGAAATTACTCTGCAAAATTGCCGCACTAATTATTGAAAATTCCTGCATCCCTGTGCAGCTGTGCACCGGCATACTGCTCACAACACGCGGAGTTGTGGTGCCAACAGGAATGCTGTTGAATTTCCAGATTGCCTCAGATACCTAGACCCAGAGTGCACACCGGCTGCAAATTTGCAACAAGGCCCTCGGAATCCCTGACAAAGCATCAAGCCCTAAAGCTCTAAAGTCTTGGAGGAGCGGCCTACGGAAACTCTGATCTCTAGCGCTAGCACATGGGAATCAGGAATCCACTGGCGTCGTCCTCAACCGCTCGGCGCCAGCGCCCTGCCTGCTTGTCAGTTCTTTCAGAGAAAGCCTCATGGAAGGAACTCGCCCCTAAACGCAAACCGTTATGTTTTGTCGCTTCCAAAGTGTCGGTTCTCCCGGCAGACTTGATAAGCATGTATGTATGTATGTATGCATGCATGTATGTATATATGTGTCATGGGCTTGGAAGAAGCCTGAAGCTCTCTAGTCGTTGCCGGATACGTCGCCTGACCGCGTCGAGCGCGAGTGCCATATATATATATATGTGTGTGTGTCATGTATGTCCATATTCATGTTCATTTATTTATTTATATATCTGTCTGTCTGTCTGTCTGTTTGTCTGTTTGCCTGCCTGCCTGCCTGCCTGTCTGTCTGTCTGTCTGTCATGTCTGTCATCTGTCAGCATGTATGTATTTATGTATGTATGTATGTATGTATGTATGTATAATGTGTGTCTGTGTGTGCGACCTTCTCCATAAGAGAGCGAGAGAGAGAGGGAGAGAGAGAGAGCGAGAGAGCGAGCGAACATGTTCCTGTCTTGTGCCTGCTAGAAAATTGCCGAAGACTTCAAAAAGAAATAAACGGTGTGGACACGAGATGTTCGTCGTTGGAGTTCCTGAGGAGATCGTCTCCTGCGCCCGCAGACGGCTCGAGGCAGACTAGACCCTTTTGGTAAATATATATATATATATAGAGGCAAGGCTCAGGCTTAGGCGTGCCTGTAGAATTGGGGAACAGGTTTCGCGGCCTCAGCCGTCTCTGGCACGCGAGAGCTTCCAGAGTTGCAAAGACGCGTTCGTGGTCGTGCCAAGTGTCACTTGTTTGGATTTTGTTTGTGTTTTGTTGCCTTCGTGGACTGACATTCTTCAAGATTGGTTTATGCTGTCATTTCCCACTTTTGCATGAGCTTGTTCCTTCCAAACTTCTTTAGAAGGCTTTATGTTTTGGATTCTGGGCCTTGCTGGCATCCCGTGTTCAATCAATGGTAAATCGTCGACGGGGCTTTTGGCTCTCTTGGCTAGTGGCACAGCGCGCATGATTAGATGGTCGCCAGCATTCAGAACAGAACCCATCGGCGCGGCCTCTAAACCGAATTGGTTCCAGCCCTGACAGGGAGCGGTCAATACACTGCGAAATGCCAACAAGGACCGGGGCAAGGGTCACGATGAGCGTCCCCATTGCCTGTGGTCACTCTGCAACAGTTCTCTCCCTCGCTCATTTGGTCTCTCTCGCGCTCTCTCTCTCTCTCTCTCTGCCTTTGTGTTTCGTCGCTTGCTGACCATCCCTGCTCGATTACCGGCAGCAGCATTCGCCGCAAAAGCAAAGCACGTTAAGCACGCGAGTCGAGGTTACGACCCAGTTTCTACCTTCGTTTCGATTAATGCTGCAACAAGTGTCCCGAAGACTCATGCATCACTGCCTGAGCGGGCCCAAACTGTGGCCAAAGTAGAAATAAACCTTGGTCGTAGAATCCTGATACAATGCCTTGTACTTACCAGCCCTACAATCCTTATACAACTCTCGTAAGGCCCGAAAACATCTTTATCCTAGCACGATGAATCCAACCTTTGCAAAGCTCGAAAAAGCCCGTATGCCAGCCCTAGACAAGATATCAAGCCCTGCACAGCTTTTGTAAAGCCCTAAGCACCAGTAACAAAAATACAAAATTAAACATGTATGCACAACCTATAGCTAAAAAGAGCCCCACTACAAGATCAATCGAGGAGCTTCGGGATGCGCAGGCAGATCTTCTCGCCTACCCCGTGCCCTGGACTGATTCGGATGGGATTTTAGGGCTTTGGAGGGTAGGGTTTGGGATCTTACGGTTTTGGGGCTTCAGGGTATTTCCGGCTTTAGGATTGGGGTTCAGGGCTTCAGGGCTTTAGGTCTGCCTTTTGGGGCCGCGAATTTGGCGCACCGCCGGGCCCGGACAGGACACCCCAGGCCGGAAACCTTTGTCGATCCCAAAGCCCCACACCAGCGGTTTAGGGCTTAGTGTTGGGATTGTCAATGCCGTCGTGGTGGAGTTCACAGGGATCCGAAAAGCTGTTACGTAAGGGGCTCAGGGCTCCTTGGCACCAGGGCACCAGGAAAATCATTTCATGATGCGAGGAACCAGTTGTGAGGAAAGTATAGGAAAACAGAAACAGAAGCTGTCAAAGACTAGGCGAGACACTAGGACAAAGTTTGAGATCATGAACCGCCATCTAGACGACTCTCATCCAGCAGCACTGAATGTCAAGCCCTCGTTACATCGACATAAGCAGGCACTCCCTAGACCTTCAAGCCTTGGCCTTGGTGTCCATCTGCATGGAGTCGATCTCGTCTAGCACAGGGCCGCTTTTCTCGAGCCTGCCGCCAGGTTCCAGAGTATCTGGCCCCGGCGCAAGAGCAGGGTGCAATTATGATTGGTGTCACCGGCTATCCAGGCGCCTGTGACTTTTTGAGGGATCCGGAAAGATGTTGTAAGGCTGATGGCTATTGGGTTCATCACTTTTTAACAATGATGGTGGCGATGGTCGTTGACGAACATGGTGATGATTATTGCTGGTCGTGGCGGTGCTGACGAGCCAAATGCTGAAGACATCGACGACGACAAGGTTACAGGCAGCAATCATCCCTGCTCAATGTTTGTTCACGCCTGACCTGTTTGGATGATCTTGCATGGTCAGGTGTGGGCAAGTCCTCGTGGGTCAATGCTGTGAGACGTGTCTCGTCTCCGAACGACCCAGATTACGCAGAGATCTGCGTGGATGGTCCCACTATGGCAGCTTTGCATGCACAGAGTGGCTGAAGTAAGGCTGCCCGCGTCAATCTTCATGTGCCGGTTGCCGTGATGGCAGCCATGCTATGACACTTTCTGTCTCAGGAGCCAATGATGTACAAGTTTCCCGTGCAGAGACTTGGCATGTCTGAGAACCAGAATTCAATTATGGAACCTTCAGGCGCAGCTGCTCTCGCATCACGTCTGACTTGAACCCAGGACGCAGAAGCCATGTGTGATCTGGGCAGCTTGTCCAGCAAGAGTGAAGAACCGGGCTAGCTGCTAGCCCTACCAGACACCCCGCTGAGTTTGGTGTCGAGTGACGTTTACCGGCTGTGGCAAGCATCCTTCCGCCAACCCTTTCAGTCTCAAGCTTCGGCTGCAACAGCAGATTCGACATGGCATATGCAATGCGCAAGGGACACCAGAGTCCCCGATCCCAGAAAGATAGTTGGAGTTGACTTCCGCACCACCCGACCACACAGATCTGAAGTCCTGCTCCAGACGACACTTCCTTTCATGTTTGGCTCACATCACGAGATCCGAAATGAGAGCTGGGCGTGGCTTGGCGGTGCTGTTTGGACTCTGCAATAGAAATGGAACAGGGTTTTCTCTCGCCGGTTCTGGCTGGCACGAGATACAATTGTTACTGTAAGGTGGATCTTGGCAGCAAGTTTTGCGGGCCTGACGTTGCTTTCACTGGCGCTGTCCTGCGCCTGCCTGAGCCCGCTTCGAGAATTTGACGACCGGCAAGCGGGCAGGTTTGGTGCCCCTTGTCTCCAGTCCCGTGTAGCTCTACATGTCAGTTGAATTCTCGGTGAGGTTGGCAAGCCAGAAGCATCCTGAGAAGGCAGGGCGCTCCTGTTCTGATTTGCTTTGGTGCCTGCTTGTCGTGTCATGGCCAGAGACCAGAGAGAACGATAGAAGACTAGCTTACAAAAATGGACCTCCACGGGGGACTCCTATAATTCGCTTGGTTAAACCCCAGTAAAGTGTTATATTAGGGGCCTTAATAATTACCTATACTATTGGGGGTTCCTTATTATCATTATGGTTACAATGGACCACGAAACCCTACTCTAATTCTTCTGGCCCCTCTCTTTTAAGCATTGTCCGTGCTTCTCCGAGGCAGCCAGCACACCTGATCTATGCGGGCATCGGCTTCTTAGCGCTACCAGGCCTGCTGAACCTAGCAAGGACGCTCCTTGTCATTGCAAGCTTATTGTTGGGGGTTTAATAAGCCTAATTAAGCCTTAAAGTATGGTGAAATCATAAGGCTGTTGAATTTGGGTGTTGGTTGGGCTCAGCAGATCACCGTCTTTGTCCGAGGCTCGGCGTCACCTTCTTGTTCGGCTTGGCTGGCGTGCTGATGGCCGGAAAGATAGGTATACACAGCATCGTAGGATTGTCGGATGGCTTGTGCCCGTTCTGTGTGTGGTTTCAGGTTTGCGCCAGCCTCTTCTCCGAATGTGTCAACGGCACCCCCAGTAACTCGACGGAGCTCAACAGAAAGCCGCAGTTCAGATGATGTCTGCCCTTGGAGTCTTTCTGAGGTCTCGCCGCGTTCAAAGGACTATCAGACGACGCTCAGTGACCCGCGCTCGCGGACGTTCCTAGTTTTATGCTGGTCTGTTTCACAAGTTCGCTTCGGGTGTCCAAGCAACAAAGCTTGCTTGGATTCCGCCAGTAGACAGGAGGCATCACGGTGTCAAAAAAACGAAGATCTTCTTAGCAGTTGGTTTTAGACCTTTGTCTTAAAGTGCTTACATTGACCTGTAGATGGCTGCACCGATGCAGCGATGGTGACGACCAAGGCATGCATCCGAATGTTGGACTTGCATTCTGCGTAGCTCTACGTCACAGCGGGTCACTTGCGTCAGCGGCTGGCACGGCTCGTGCATGCGCGCGCGCGCGTTCCGGTCTCATGCAGTTCCGCGTGCATCCAAGGACCTGCCCGGCGTAGGGACTGCTGGATATCCGCCAGAGAAGCCTGGCTGCTTTCGGCGCGGTTGCTTTGTGATCGGCGAAAGGTCATCCTGATGTAGATTATCATAAAGTCGACCTCTGACACTATCTCTTGGCAGCGCGGGCAACACGACCCTGAGTCAGCCATGGCACACAAGACTGGGCTCATGTAAGATATGTAAGCATCAGAGTGGGACTACTAACAGTTAGTTGCCAGCTGTTGCTTCGATAGCTTTGTGACCTAATTACTCGAAGCAGTGCTTTCTCATGCCCCCTGGGTTCAACGAAAGGAAGTATCTGCAGAAGCTGGGAATCCGGCACTTCGATGTCGTAGTTCTCATCACCGACCAGAGAAGCTTGGCCTGTCTTCTTGGATCTGAGACACGTATATCACAAAGCAAATAGACTGCACTACGATATACCATGATATAAGACGTAATAACTATATATATATGTATATATTATAAATATATGTTGCATCAAATGTAACATAGCATATAACTTGTAATATTCAACATGTAATGGACAGTGCAAAATGTCTTTTAATATAAGACAATGATCTTGCAAGATCGTGCGAAATAATTTCGAATGTGATATGGTACAATATCATATGATGTAACATACATCATGATATGTTATAACATGAAATAAATCCAAATATACAACATAGCCGAACATGAGAGCATCATGCCATGTAAACCCTTGTAGGTATTACAGCACAATACAGATGATGTAGTGCGCAAAATACAGATACTGTATTCTATTTTTACATAGCAGAATGCAAAAGCACATTTCTGCTATATATTGTAACTTGTTGTGCAAGTTATTGTGATATATTATGGTATCTTCTAACGTGTGATTTGTGTTGTATGTTAGTAAACTAAAACAAACTAAGTTCGACTATTAATACTAATGTTTGTGTCGTCGAGGTTGATGACTAATTAATTTGTATGTGTATCATATTCGCGATTTACATTAACTCCAAATTCTGCCATTCGATCTTGACATGATGTTATATTACATGTTCTGTATTAAACTCTCTGTATATGTGTATATAGTTGTTTGTTCTTCTTCCTGATACTAGCATTGAACCAGTCTTACTCATAACATATATACATATATACATATATATATGTGTTTATATGTATTTATAATTATATTTATATGTACATATACGCACACATACATACATACATACATACATACATACATACATACATACATATATCTTCAACACATATCACATGCCTGTATACATATATGTTTTTGGAACATACATATACCCATGCATGTATCGTATGATACGTGTAGATAGTACAGAACAATGTTGCCCAGGGCCCTTTTGGCATCCATGCTCTGTTACTGGCCACCTGTGATGCGCATGGGTGCTACTTGTGCGCCATGTTATGGGGTGGTATTTGTGCTGCGCCACCAAAGCCAAAGCCGCGCAGGCACAACCAAACGCGATGGCGCATTATCAACTAATCAGCCTTCGCATTGCTGGTAGAAAGAGCCTATGTTCACGGGTAGCATTTGCTGCCCAGCTGCTGCCGTTGGCCAAGCCCGGGAGAGAAGTACTGTGGAGAAGAATCGTGTTAGTTATTGTAATTTTAGTACTACTATATCGAAATAGTGTAGTATTATATGAGCATCTTTATGAAGCTATTAAAACATGCAGAGTCCGGACAGCCTACTGCTCTTGCTGCTGCTGCGGCTACTTTGCACCTACGGCGACCACAACGACGGCGACTTCGCTGTCAGCCGAGATTCCGACGACATGTGCTACCACCAATCACCACCTACTCCTGCTCTTGCGATTACTATAGTTGCCTCAACAATCACGAATGATTCCGTAGGGCGATTGTATACTTCGATACCCCCTAACCCTATTTTGCTTATTAAGGACCCTCTCTCTTTCTGTATTTCTTGATGGTCGCAGGGTCATAAGCCTGCGCATACCTTCCCCAGACGCTCAGGATTTACAGAGGCCGAGCTCCTCCTTTTGGACGACCTCCGCCACTGGAACGTGCCGTTTTTCATGGTGCGGAATAAAATTGACGCTCTGAAACATTGGGCAGCCTTTTGTCCTAGGCCCACCAAGTTGAAGGGGTGTTGTTTCAAGAGTGTTGTTCTGCATGATCGTTCCTCTGCTCTCAAGAATCGGTTCTACCAGTCGTAAGGATCTGGATGTTGAGAGGGAACTGGACGCCGAGCAGGACGTCTTGGACAACCGAGGCCCGAAATCCTCTCAGCACCTCCTGCAAGCACATCTTGTGAGGCGTTTGTAACACCGGGCGGAAGGATAGGAAATAGTATCACCTGTTTTATCCCTTATGGTGTTGCACAAGCATGGAACCCAAAACCCTATACCCCCTAGTAAACCCCTGAACCAATCGGGCACACAACCTGCACAGCTCGCTTCTGGCGTCGACGTCGACCGCATGACGAGAGTCGAAGTTGTTAGGTCGCTTGAGAGCGAAATCCTGGCAGGATTTGGAGACCAGATAGAGGATGACGAACGCAGCTCGGAAGCGCTAATGGAGAAGCTTGACCCTTGGAGACCACCCACACTCAAAGAAGCAGTGAGCAAATCTTCGAAGATGATGCTAATGGTGCTGACAAGCTGCCCATGGTCATGAGAACTGCGACTCCTTTATCTGATCAGCTGTGCACTCTTACCAGCTACAATCGACTAGGCAATGCTCAGTGATGGGAGGCCCGGGTCACGCCAAGGAAGGGAGATTGTTCGCGACACCCTCATCAACGTGAAGGAGGACTTGTCAATCCTGCACCATGTGGACAGTGCCTGCCTTGACTGCATCATGAACCAGACGGAGACCAAGCAGTCAAGCATCGTTCAAACACTGCGAACTGAGGTGTGTACTGCATATCCTCCATCAAGCAGTTCTGGCATTCGTGTGGCCCTTAATCGCCCTTGCCGCACAACCAAGCCATCGGCAAAGTCGTAAACCCACGCGCAGCTCCTGGGCACAGACTCCTTGCGCAGGATACTTTCCTAGTATTTTTGTCGCAGTCGGGCCTGGTGAGAAACCCAGAAGCCACAACCGACCAACATCTATCTATCCATCTATCCATCCATCCATCGATCTATCTATCTAATTATCTATAGGTGTATATATACATATATACATATATATATATAGACGAGAATATATATATATATATGTGTGTGTGTGTGTATGATTAGATATACAAATTTATGCACATACGTGCATACAGTACCCATGATTAACATACACACGATGCAACAGGGGATAGGTATGTGAGAATACTATATTTGATATGATGGTAGCTCATGCCTCCAGGGAGGATGATATATTCCATATTTGCGCTGTGGTCGGAGCCAGGTGCGAAGTACGACAGGCGATTGAATAGCAGGTGGGGAGTATTATAGAATCAATTACATAGCAGGGAGATAGAGCGATTTTGAAGTAATGTAGCGCACAGCAACTTAACACTAGGAGCAGCAAGAACGGAACAACGCAGGAGACATGAACATCAGAAAAGTTGCGGGGTTTGCAGCGAGCTGGCAATAGGTGCGGGTTCTTCTTAAAACAGCGCAGAAACCCGGAATTCGACCAACATGCCCAAACGCCCGAAACTCTAAACCCCCGAAAAAAGGCATTCAGACAAGCAAAGGAAAAGCAAGTCCCGAGGTTCGACTTCCCTCGGCTCGAGCAGGTGGCTGCAACCGTGTGTCGTTTCCCTCATCGACTTCCTAAGTTCTGTTGGTCTCATCCGGTTAGGGGCCCCTTTTGGGTTCACTTTCCCTGGCCGACTTCCCAAACCCGGATGAAAAAAAAGGATCTGGTCAGCGATAGATCGGCAATAGGTGGACAAATGAATGAACGAATGGACAAGCATGAAACAAGAATAGGTAGGTAGGTGGGTAGATAGGTAGGTAGGTAGGTAGGCAGGTAAGTGGGTGGGCAGGCAGGCAGGGTGGCAAATATGCGCATGTGTATAATTTGTGTATATACATACATACATACACACACACACATATATATATATTCACATATAGATATAAATACAATAAATATAGATAAATAAATCAATAAAGATAGATATATATATATATGTATGTATGTATGTATGTATGTATGTATGTATGTATGTATGTATGTATGAGCCAATGTGACAGGTAGACAAATGTACATATCTGTTCAATGCACATGTGCATGCGCATACCTACACATACATACATACATACATACATACATACAGACTTTTGCGTAGGACATATACACATATAGATACTTGTGTTTAACTTGTTGACCTAAAACTTTACGTGTATCTGATACTGAAAACACACAGCTCGTGTAAGTAGCTAGCGGGCCAGAACAAGCACCCTCAGAGTTCGCGGAGCTGTTCAAAAGCATGCAAGTAATTATTGCTTCGAGACCGCACGTCACTTGTTTCTACAGGACCCCCACGAAACTGTAATGCAGGACAGTGCCTCGCACCGCAACTTCTTGACCCCTCCGGCATCAACTCAAGAAAGTCTTCTTTAGAATGTCCAACGCTTGACTATGTCTATGTTATGCAGCACTCCACCAGGACCAGCTCCAAACGTCTATGTATCCGTGTATCCGCAAGCAGTCAATGGATTCTGTATACCTAAGATTCAAGGAAGAGGTGTCTGCATTTTATATTGCCAATTGAAGGATCTCACGGTTACGCTGCGCCGTCAGCGCGCGTCTGAGGCCAGGATTGCATATGATTGCATTTTCAGGGTCAATGGAGCAGCTGCTCGTCTACCGGTGGATTCCCCAAGTCATGTAGTTGACCTAAGACCTAACGACATTTGCCTCGGGGTTGTCGGAGTTGTGAGCCGAACTCATGCAACTTAAAGATCCAATCCCATGGACCAGACCCCAAACTCAATCCCAAACAAGCATTAAGCCCGAAAGCCCTAAACACCCCAAACCTCGACAATTTGGCTCAAGCCTTAGCACACCATTAAAAACCCGGCTTTTGAGGAGCTGCAGCAAAAGGTCGATTTACTTTGGCGCGGACCAGAACGCGAAGACCCCGGGTAACGGCGAAAAACCCTCGCCTCAGGTTTTGTGGGTGGTGAGGATTGAGTACGCTTCTTTGTGCTCCCGAAGGCCTTCTTTTGCCACAAGGCGCCATTCGCGGCAGGCTGTTCATCCTGCCACGGGCATACGACCTCAACGAAGCCAGGGCATCGAAACGCTCAAGCAGATCTGGAGCATGCATCACCCTACTAAAGTCAACCGCACGAGGAGGCTCAGCTTCAGAGAAAAACATCCGAGCCGTCAGAGGACCGGAAGGTCCAAATGGTCCGTGTGTGGCAGACAGCGCCGGAGGCGCCGGAGATCGAGCACGGAAGATCGCTGCAGAAGCTTGCTGAAGGCAGGGACTCGTAGATGCAAGCCTAGTGGCCCGTACATAGACAGCCTGCTGGTTTTTGGCAATGGCACGGAAGCAGGTGGTACTCTGACTGGGCGTCTTATCAGCTACAGGGGAGGCCACCCCTCATTAAGAAGAAGAGAGAAGTCCCACGATGGAAATAGCTGCAACAATTCTACCATACAAGCGGCCCATGAGCGAATTCACGACCATCGTCCCGTCATCCCAAGTATTTGGAAGGCGGTATTTTGGAGCAAGCTGAGATGCTTGGGACACTTGAGACACAGAGACGTCAGTGCCAGTGATGGGTGGACAGAGTGGTTGACTGCTCCCACATATGTCGGGTTTGCAAGCCCACCATACTTCTCTAATTCCCATCGCTGCAACTTTGGCTCCGGCCTCTGGGCGCGCAATCTTAATGAAGCGATCTCACGGCATGTCAAGTGCAGGATTCTTGAGCGGCATAATTCAATGCGGTGCTAGCATGCGTACCGCCCCTGAAATGACGGCAGCTCCAAGTGTTATGTGTTCTGTGAATGCATGGCGCACGCTTATGAGCTGCCATAATCCAGGATAGTAAGCATCCTGGCTCTATTCCGATGCATGTGCAGCTACTGTGGAAGTTGTAGCGGCATTTTGCTGATCGTGATGAAAATAGGTTCGTGTCGGAAAACAGTGCTGGTGTAGCTTTGTGCGCAGCCAGGTTCGTAGCCCTTAGTTTGCTTTTGGTTGTTACCATGTATTCCGCAGTCTCACCCCTCGGAACTTCGCACATACTCGGTGTCTTGCTTGGTGTAGATTGGATGCGATTTCCGTTGGTTTGTTTTGCGGGTCAATGTGCCCCTTCAGAACCGTGATGATTACATGTGATCACACTTCATCTTGCCCTGAGGCGTCCCAGATCGAAAGTGTTTTAGGACCTTGTGTGCTTGAGCCCCATGCCCTAACCAGTTCGTTGTGTGACCACAGTTTATCCTGGAGTGGCCTGATGTTCACAACTGGAAATCTTCTGGTACAGAACTGAACACTGGAGCCTGAGAGGTCACTGAGTCACGGTTCTTTTTATTAAGTTTTACAGTGCAGGGTTGCTTGTTGTTGTGTGAACTTCCGCGTGATATCTCGATCATTGTCCCACAGCGCGGATTCCGCGAGAGTGGAGTTGCGTGCCTTGTGCGAGTTGCGAGAGTCAAAAACCTCAAATTGTAAGATTAACTTAAGGCTAAGCGTCGAAAGCCCTGAACCGCAAAACCCTGAGCCCGTAACTTTAGAGCCCTATAAGCCTCTATAAACCAGCATAAAACCTTCAAGTCATGTCCCCGTAAAACCATGGCCCTCGCTTGAGCGGAACAGGATTCCTCGATCGAGCTTGCGGGGTCCTCAGTTCCGTCCTCGAGCTTCTTCTTCCTTAAACAGGTTTTTGAATTCTGTGTTTGTGGTATAGCGTATAGAAAATTTGAATGGTATATACATTACTCATTGGTATAATGTGCAGAGATGGATGTGTGCAGTTGATGTCGGAACGCCGTGGTCGTTCCTTCCGTCTCGTGTTTATGTAGTCGTTGACACTCAGGCGCGTGCTATTGATATCAGTCATAACCAGATGAGGTCGAGGGCTGACTTGGGCGACATGGCGGCGAGTGGCAACGCACTTCTCCGGCTCGCTTAGCCGTTGGGCGACTGCTCCGCTGCCATTCGTTCCCTCTGTCTCCTAGAGTCTTGCGACCACAGGAGACCGAATGCCCAAGTTTTGGAGATTTTCACCCGCACCACCCGGAAGCCTGCTTTTTTGGGTACAGACACAGCAGATAGAGATGCCATGAACCTTGAGGCAGTGCGCTCCCGGGGCCCAAGTAGGAGGAGCTGTGCTTGCCGCCTGCATAAACAATCCCCAACATGAGATTTTCAGAGAAATGAGTTTATGGAAATCAAAGAGTAGTCGGGAAACCGAAACCCATGCTTGAGTCTTTACAGTTTGGGCTGGGTTGTTTCTATGCAGAGGCGAGCCGGCACATAGCCAAGCCGACATCATTTGCATTGCCACCCAGCACCCAGCGACTACTTGCAATGCTTAGGTTGGTCTTGTTTTTTCTTGGGTTACTTCCAACCGTATGTGATAAAACAAAAGTTTAGAGCGCGAATCCGACACGATGACCCAAACCCGCAGTTTGAATGATGAATTTGGAAGGTCATGCTTGGAGTTATTGAGGCTGGACTGGTTAATGGGACAAGCAGAATCGGTGCAAGCAGTTATCCGAGATCAGCTGTACTTGAATCTTGAGATTTGTGCAACGTGCCGTTGAGTCGGAGATCCAGCTGCGGAGTTGCGTAAGCTCTGCATCCTGGACGTGGCAGCTGCAATGAGTTCCAGTTGTGCTTGCGCTCATTCTTTGCAGATTTGGCTGTGCCTTCCCTGCTGGATCCCTGAGAACTTGATCACAGCGATGCTGAATCCTGAGTCTGAGTACTGAGCCTTGTTGACTTAAGAGCCCGAAGAACCCCACCAAAACGCAACCTTGTGAAGACAGTATCCCTACTGACAAGTGTAGGAACAAGAGGACATCAGAGGGAAGGTTGCTGCCACTTTAGGCGAAGAGTTCCTAGATGAGCACGCCTGTTTCACCGAATCTTTCTCGTGCAGTGGAACGGAGGGAAGGAGCCCGAGATCGAGAAAGTATCCCAGACACCCGTATCTGACATACCCAATCGCACTGCCAGACTACCAACACCGCCATTGCTGCTTCTGCTGCTGTTGCTGTTGCTGCTGTTGCTGCCGCTCTTTGTTCTACTTCCAGCACTCGACGGGCCTACTTTTGGGGCACCAGACGGACAAACGAAACGAAGATGGGCTCGTTCCGTCCCTACCGAGCACCCTCGAGAATGCCAATCCAGAAGGTCCGACAGCACCTTCCCGGAGGAGGGGGCTGGTCTCAATAACAAGTGCATACCTTTACTTTGGCGAAGGTTGGGATGCAGCTCATGACGACATCGAAAGATGAACAACACGTCGCACAGGAAGGGGAGGAAGAGAAACCACGAGAGAGGCAGAGAGTCAGAGTTACAGAAAGAGCATTTCTTTTCACAGCTTCTGCTGCAGAAAGCAGAGACTCGAAGACACGGAGCGAAATGAGCCCCCAAACACCATCAGCGGAGCAGATGGAAAGCTGATGGACCTGAACCCAGTGATGTTTCGTCCAGCCTCCTCTTTCCGAAGATTGGGCTCATCCCGGCGAGCGTCGTAACGTGATTTACAGTAGGCTCCTACTCATCACCCGCCATTCTCAAGAATCCAAGACCCAAGATATTCCATCAAAGCAGCTGTATCGTGGATATCCTATTCATCGCGACCTTGCGTGATGACGTTGTCAGGCGTGCCCTTCAGTTTCGGGCTGTCTGTGGTGTCCGAAGCCCATGCCCCTGGGACTTGGATGGACCCATCGCACAGAGGCACTGTTTAAAGGCCCAGTGGCAGCGGCTTGAACAGCAGCCACCCTCGAATGTCCTTGCTAGGATACTTTGCCAGGCCATTTCGGGCCGAGTGCCACTGTTTTCAAGCCCCACAATCACCACGCCAGCTTGGCCCAGTCTCTCCTCCTTGGACGCAGTGTAGCCGGCCTGGGAAGCCGACATCGCAAGACTCCTACGATGCGAAGGGTTGAGGAGATGCTGGGCCGAGGCAAGCCTTGTGTGACCGTTTCCAGGATGTACCCTCCGGATGGACCGATCAGCAGCAAAGTGCGTAGAGGAATATTCTGTTTTCCGGCAGCGTAGTCTGAGGACAAAGTCTGCGAAGACTATGCGGAAATTGGATTTTCCGTTTTCCCCTCTAATTCCGTTCTCACTCAGCTCTAAACTTGTTGAGGTCAATGGGGCGATCAGCTTTTTGGTGTACGTACTGGTGGCATTCCATGGATTGCTCGCCGCACTGTTGACCCCATCGCTTTCGGAGCACTCTCTCGTAGCGAAACGCGACATAGCTTCAGAAGCAACCAAAAATGATGGACGGGGCATTCATCAAGCATTTCGGAGTATTGCTCAAAGGCGTATAGGGCTTAGGGCCACTTGAGAACAGGATGCGTGGCAACAACCAACATGCAGGCACAGCGCTGGATGAGCGCATTGAGGCAGGGAGGGGGGGGATCAGGCACATCGTTGACTTTGGACGCTTTTTTCTGGTCACATCGGGTCCGAGTTGCGAGCGCTGGACCAGCATGAAGATGCCTGAAGCCTTTCCTTCAGCCTTCTGAACGTTGAACCATGGAGGATGTGCTTCCACGAGCCACAGAAAAGCCAGGTCTAAGAGAAGCAAGTGTGTCCATCTCTCTTGTGTAGTGCTGGACAGGCATCGCAACAAAAAACACTGTACTAGAACATAGACATGTATCAAAATCAATGCGGATTGTTGAGCTGCCATGATCGCTGTGGCGTTATGGCAGCATCGACCCTGCTGGAACAGCGCCGGGAGCCCGATTTGTTTGCAGCTGGAATACTTAATAAAGGAGAGTACTCTTATCCCGGAATGGCCCAAATTATTGAATAGTAGAGTATGCCCCACAGCCCTATTCTCATCATGATTGAACGCCCCCGGTATTATCTTGTGGAGGGGCATGAGCAGATTGAAGAGAAGATTGGGGAAGGACTGGGTGCTAGCCCGAGACACGAACTTCAGAAGCCTGCAAGATTTCCTGCGGAGGTTTCACCAAGGGCCAAGGAACCCCAGACTTTTTTCGAAGGGTTTAGTATAGGGTTCAGGTGTTATGTTTTGAGTTGCGGAACGGTATCATGTTGACCTGCCGCAAAAGTTTCTCCGCCGCAGACTCAGCTTTTTGAGACCGAAACCCCTTGACTCAATTCCGTATCGAGCTGCCATGCCCTTGCAAGCCCTCTGGGGCTATTACCTCTGGGACCATGTGCATGAGGCCGGTTTACGGTGAAAGTACGGTGAATGCTTGTGTAGGGCGTTGAAGCGTAAAGCTTGTAAGTCGCCCCTTGAGCCCGAGAGAGATAGAGAGAGAGAGAGAGAGAGCCCTGGCGAAAGAAAGAGAGAGAGAGAGAGAGAACAAGCGAGAGAGAAGATTGAGATACATAGATCGACAGATAGATGGACAGACGGATAGGCGGATCGACGGATAAACAAAGACAGACAGACAGGCAGACAGAAAAACAGACAGAAGACATGGAGGTGCGTAGGTAGGTAGGTAGGTAGGTAGGTAGGTAGGTAGGTAGGTAGGTAGGCAGGTAGGTAGGTCGGTCGGTCGGTCGGTCGGTCGGTCCGTCAATCGGTCGGTCGGTCGGTCGGTCGGTAGGTCGGTAGGTCGGTAGGTAGGCAGGTAGGTAGGTATGTAGGTTAGATAGACAGATGGATGGATGGATAGATAGAGATAGATCGGTCGATCACAAGGCACACTTCATGGTGTTCCGGGCGCAAACCAGTGACAGTACTCGAATCTCTGAGTTGCAGGCTTGAACTGAAAGTCTGGATTTGGCTGTGCCAGAGACGGCACCCAGAGCCAGCCCTCAGTGTAGTGCCTTGCAGCCACGACGCACGAGGCTTGTGAATTCGGAAATCTGGTTATCTAGCCTTTAGAGCTGCTTATGCTTATGCCCTCCGGGCTTCAACTCCTGATCTTAGCCGAGATTCGGGAACTTTTCGGCGGCGAGGCGGCGCCAAACACCGTAGAGACTCCTGGCGGGAAAGAAACGATAAAGCTTTCGAAGCGATCTCAGGCAGAGGTCAAATTATGCTGCTGAAGTCTACCGAGAAAAATCTGCAAGTGCTCGTCGTAGGATAACAATTACGACGAGAAAAAAAGAGAAAGAGCCCTTCGAGGCGAGGCGGTGGCCGAGAACCTCCAAAAAGCGGTTCGTGTCTCTGTGCAAAGCAAGGCACCAGAAGATGGGTAGCTGCAGAAATACCGGAAGGCATCCTCCCAACCTTCGTCATCTCGATTGCATGCGGAGAAGCCGGCTAGTTCTCTCTCTCTCTCTGTCTTGGGGCTCCGGCGGGTTCACGTCCATGACGCCGTAGAGCTGTCCCAGGAGTCGCTGTTGTGTGTCCGGGTCGTCCTCAGCTTTCTTTAACAACTCGAGAAACACCGGAACAGAAGTGCATCCAGCGACTGTAACTTCATGCTGTGATTGGTGCTAGGTTATGGTCGCCAGGGGCCAGTATAGTATAGCTGAAAGCTGCATAAGCAGGGCTGTGCCCGGCCTTGTATTTCTCCTGGATTTCCTTCACCTTCGGGCTCAGGAGCTGCATCATGGACGTGCTCTTCAGCTGGCCCTGGCAAGATGAGTTGAGACGACGTACTCAGCTGGCATAGGGCAGAGGGGCTCGGGCCTGCTGCAATGGGAAGAAGAGGAGCTTGATGAAAGCGGTGTAGGCGACGATGGTCCAGCCGAAGGCCTGCTCCACGCCTTCAAGTGCGGAAACTTCCGACCTACCCGCAGAAAGGGCTGCAACTAAGCCCGCGGCCGTTGTCCCTCAAGGCCTGGTCAATTTGCTTGATGAGACCGGCTTGGAAGCCGATGAAGCCGTTCCACCAGTCATCAGGAAGAGGTTTGTTATTCATCGGGTCCACAAGGACGGCGCCATCTGCCCCGTAGAGATACGTGACGTTCGGGTCCAGTTCAATGGGCTTTGCATCAGCTGCATATGCTGGAGGCACAATTTCGCGGGCTAAGCGACCTGCTGCTTCAGAGAAGATCTCGGTGAGCTGCTGTACCGCGGCAGCAACTCCTTCCGCATTGGATGGATTGTCTCCTGCCTGCAAACCCTGTGTGAAGTGCTGCAGCAGTTGAGTGCTTTGCTCTTCCAAGCCGCTCCACACATGTGGGTGTAGCAGGTCGATGCTTTCGGGAGGCACAGCGGCCTTCGTCACCTTCGCCAACCGCCGCTTCAACAGCTTCGGACGATGACGCCGCGCACTGGACAGAACCCCGACCGTTGCCACTGCTGCCGCCGCACTTAGGCTTGCCCCACTGTGTCTTGGCAGGGCCGTGTTACCGGTCTGAGGAGCACGGTGTGCGGCCGCTGCACGCGCAGTGGCCTGCGCCACGAAAGCCTCTGACAATTCCATGGGAGTCCGTTCGCTCCACTCAACACTCAAAAACTGACATCTAGAAAAAGTCAGCTGCAGGATGCAAGCAGGATATGTATCAAACAAGCACTGTCAAAGCGCCCCTGCATGGACATGTACTGAGAATCGGGTCAGTCCTCAAGCATCGAGGAATGATCCTTGTTAGCTTCCGCAGGCTGCCAGAACGTTCCCTAGGCCGCGCGATTTGCACGGAGTGCTCGAGGACTCCACTGGACATGCCACACATGCGGGCGCAAAGAAGTTAGAGGAAAGAGCTGCAGCATGTCCCTATGGAATCTCCGAAGGTAAAATTAACGGTTCGACATGGCAGGACAGCGGACGGGCGCTCACCTTATGCTGTTGTTAGCGGACTTAGCGAGTGTCATCATTCTTGAAAGATCGGAAGGACTCCGAGTGTTGCATCACTGCCGTGGCCCCAGAAAAATCCTGCGGTGTGGTGCAGCCTTGCAAACCTTCAGAAGTCGTCAGAGTTCGTCGAAGGACTGGCCATCGGAGTAGGATCCGAAGGGCACGTAGTCTGCCTTCCAGTCACATCCGTGGTGCGTATCGTTGACACAAAGTGTAGCAGCATCCATCTGAATGTAACTCAACCTGCACCTGCTCTGCACAGGGCTATTGCATTGGACCATGAGCCAGGCACACAGGCCTCAATCTTGTCCTCGCCCTCCGGCAGTACAAGCCTTAACGAAAGGTAGTAGCAACGTAGGCTGCATTCAAGGGGTACAAACATGTACAAACCACAGTGGCCAGCAAACAAAGAGAAGCAAAGCTCCGGCAATCTAAACGCAAGCCACCGAACCGCCGCTACTGCATGGGGTCTCATACTGCCGCCAAACCACTCTGGAAAGCAGTATATCTGCCTGCAGTTCTTCATCCTCGGCTGTCCCAGGCACTGTCAAATCGGTGAGCTCCACTGAGAATTCCAAGCTCCGGGCGGGCCAAAGTCGAACGGGTTCTGTCCATCCCTATAGTAGTTCTTGACCTGCAGCAAATTCCCCAGAAGTTCCGAGGGCAAAGGCTCTTCGCAGCGCAAGGACGTATGGCGGATTGCAAGGCTAGCACATGCTCGTTCGTTGTCAAGTTCTGGATAGAGATCACCGTGTGGTAGACAGAAAGCAACAGGACCTGCTCACTTGTGCTGCACACCAGATGGCAGCTGTCGGCCTTTACACCGAGGCCGTGGCAGCTAGCATCAAGGCGAGGCAGTACAAGAAGAATAAAAGCAACCAAGCATCCTGGCAATTGCCCACAGCCAGCTACATGGACTAATGGTCTTGCGCTGCAGTGGTCACCTGAGTAAGGACCCACAACACATCCAGGAAGCCGTAGTCTGGGCCAAACTGCTGATGTGCCTGCAGAATCTTTCTTTGCCGCGCAGTCAGGCAGACTAGCTGCAAAAAGTCGCGTGACCTGCAGGCCGTAAACGACAGAGTTCACATAGATGCACCTTACAGACACGAGAGGATTTTGCGAGGCATCGAAGTCCCAAGCCCGGCAAGGGGGGCTGAGGCAGCTGACAGCATCAAGAAGATCGTGGCTGAGTAGATCAAGACCACGAAATAGCGGTAGTTGTAGAGCGCCACCTGGAGTCAACGGAAACTGAATCGCTTTACATGCCTTGGCCCATCGAGGAGGAAACCCGGACTCCCCTGCGAAGCTGTTGGATTCTGGCTATCTTCAACTTGAACCAAAGTGAAAGTACCTTTGAATCTGAGCGTCTGACGCAATTCCCGAGCCATGTGCAATGGTGATCAAACCGCAGCACGCAGTTGTCACCTGGTCGGGCATGTCGTCAGGGGGAGGCCAACTTCAATATCAGCTGCAAAGCATGTCGGGCACACAAAAGGAACAGTGCTTGGAGCGCGGAGGTCTGAAGATGTTGCAGGTTGAGCAGTACCTCCCCCACACATCATGCACCATGACGAAGACGAAATGATTTCCGAGTCGCACTTCTGCTTCAGTGTGATGTTGCAGATCTTCCTGAAGACTGAACCATTGGAGAGTTGCTCCACAGCTTGACAGTGAGGCAGGCATGTCGGAGCATGGCGTGAAGTGTGAAGCCGAGAGGCAGGAAGCGATGGCAAGGGACGCCTCGCAAGTCCAGGTGCTGTTCCAGCTCCTGCACGCACGTGGCAAACTTGCTGCGAGCTTGCAGCTCTCATCTGTCTAGATGCCAGCAACACGAGACGGCAACAGTCGGTGGCTGGAACATCGGATGTTAGAGCACAAGACAGTGCATCTCGTGATGATCTTGCGCTCTGCTCAGAATCCAAGTTGTTTGAGCTGACATCCGAGGCCTGGGGCATTTTCTCATTCCTGGGGATGATGCCAGGGTTTATTGTGGCCCTTGGCAGCAAAGCGCGAATCACATTTAGGTACCTACTGCAAACGCATGCTCTGATGCAATGTTACAGCAGCACAGAGCTGGACATGCTCCCGAAGCAGCTGAGCTGAAGTTCGAAAGTCCAGACTAAGGCGGCGGCGAGAGGACGAAACAAACCAAGATGGTAATTCCCAAGACCTGGGCGCGTTGAACTAGACACGAAGCCACCTCTCAGGGAAGATTCACGGCCAGGCTTCGGCTTGCAGACGAGGCACCAGCTGCACCAGGCCGAGTGGATCTAGGTAGACGGGTCCTCGCAGGATCAGCTAGTCACCGAGGCCCCCAATGCCCTTTCGAGGCCCCCGCCCTCGGTGACCACCGGCAGCTGTTCCCGCATGTACCTCAGCGCCACCCGGAAATCCGTATCCCTCAGATCCTGACGCCTGGGAGCGGCGCCAATAACCCGGCAAGAAGGTCAGGGCCTCGGATTTCGAAGCAATACCAAGAGATGAAAGTTGCCCGGCCCGAACATTGAGCCGAGGGCAAAGGTTGATGCCGAGTTTGGCCACCTGCACAGAGCCATACTCCGACTCCGACGCTCCCTCCAACCAGTGGAACATCATGGAACATCCACACACTAGCGCCGCTAGGCATCAGCCTAAGAAGTGCGGTGAACAGCCCTTTTGCGAGCTTCGATGCTGAGGCGGCCACAACTGCCCCAAGGCGAAGCGCCCTCCACAAAGCACCTGGCATCGGCAGAGCACGCGATAGCACGCGCGAGCTCTTCCAGCTTCGGCCGGGAGCGCTGTGCTTGAGCCTTGGTACCTGGTGGTCAGGTATTCGTGGAAACCTGAGCTGACGACGGATGCAGCAGACCCCCACCAGCAACGAGTCTCGACAGAGATGATGCGCATGTGTTCGGTCTGCCAGCCATCTTGTCCCTGCCATCTCCTGCAGCCCTTGCAAGTGCGACAAATCGAGGCAACATCTCAAGAAGTGTACCTGAAGATCGGTAGCTTGCTGCTTCCGGCAGTCTAGGTAGGTGATGTCTGCATTCGGAGAATGCTCCGAAATTTCAACACTTGTCTTTGCATACGTCCTCAAATCATGATTTCGATTGTTCCAGACATTTGGATGTTGCGTCGTGTAGTATGTGTGTGTAATTGGTTGTTTGTGATTTCCTTTCTTTGCACTAGCTTGGTGAACCCAGCACTGTGGATCGAAAATGTCTGCAAAAGGATGCTCGCAGTCGCACTGGACGAAAACTCCATGTTGGCAGAGCCGCTGGTAAACCACTCTCTGAGAAGCATGTGGGACCGTTTGCCTCATCCTGCAGCTGCTGTGGTGCCCGGCTCTTTTCGACACCAAAGATGAAGGTCAGGCCAAGCCTCGCTTTGAAAAGGTGATGCCGAATGTCAAAATAGACATTTAAAAAAATCCCGGGTCCCGGCTTCGGCGGTGGCTCCTTTATGCGAACGAGGTCGCAATACCTCGGGGGGGGGGAAGGAGTCACGATTTACGCTTGGCACGGGAGCGGCACACAAACTCCATCGTCTTTTCACTCGCTGCATCTAGACTCCCTCCACGGGGCCTTACGGCCGGCTGTGGTTGGGGGTCCGGGTGAGTTGCCCTTCCAAGCGATCTATCTTCACTTGCTCGCACCGTAGTCTGCCTTGGCTTCTGCAAAGTTCCACGTGAGCCTAAAAGTGGCGACCCAACGGCCCCAGGTCTCTGGGGAAATCAAGGCCATCTGAGTTGCTGCAGCAGGCGACGCATCTCCTGTTAGGTGATCCGATGTGGCCCAGCTCAACACCTGCTAGATTCGCTAGATGTTGAGCGACTTTAAGGTGAGATCGGATGATTGTCGAAGTAAGACGCACTGCAAACAGTCATAAGCGGATGGCCTTCCAACCCCCTCCTGGCTGGACCCGAAAGCGGCTGATGCCTCGGCAGTTCGTTGCGTCTCTCGCCTCGAGCCATCGCCTGACGCCTGAGGTTGGTGCAGGCATTTGTTGGCGTCGCCCGTGGCTCTTGAGAGTTTGGTTCAGAGTGGCGCAGCAGTTGGCCGAGAACGCCACCATGTGTTACCTGAGATGCTGCTCACGATTCCATCAAGCTGTCAGTCTGTCAGTCACGTCTGCCGAGGCACCGCGATTACCAGTCCGCATGTGGATGCTCGGCACGCCTGGTGCAGACTGTCAACAGACTATTCCTGAAGGTAGAGTGATGCAGGGGTCGCTTTAGTTAGCCACGGTGTGGCGGTCGGTATCGGCAAGAGTCGGCAAGAGGTTGCCCGGGCTGGGCCTCAAGCAGACACCGGACAGCTGACGTGACATCTCTGGCCTCCTCGATGCAAAGCGCCGCCCGCTGGCGCACCTCCTCCATGCTTTCCTCGCAGCTGGAACTCGCACATCAAGCAGCCAGCAATAATAATAACAAAAGGCAACAGCCAGTCAAGACTGACAGTGCCCGTGATGGAAGATGGCGAGGCTTGGATATCCCATCCTGACCTAAACATAGTTTAGCAAGGCGTGGCGCTGCAGCAGCATGGAAGAGGCTCTGAAAACCTATTCGTGTTGCTTTGATGCCATGGCTCGCCACCTCCGGAGATTGGATACTTGGTCACCTCTTCCGCCACCTCGCTGCTCATGCTGGATTTGGTGGGATTTGGGACACTTTCGACCACAATTCCACGGTCCGCCGGCTCCGTCTGCCGGGATGCAGATCGCAAACTCGTGCGAATTGTGCATTTCGACATTCTGCTCCTGCTTGTAGTCTTGAAATCTAAGGGCCCCTAAGGGCCTTCGAATTTCCAAAACTGGTAATCGTGCTCCCGCACAATCCTGTCGGGTGTGCATCGCCTTCCTGCCAGAGTCCTGCACATTCATGCTTTCCGAGATCGTGCTTCCGTGCACATGGCTGGGTGCTACGGGTGTGACTGATATTTCCGCATCCAGAAGTCTGGTTCACGCTCCACTCCCTTTTGGGTGCGACTCGTGTTCCCACCACAGCGCGTTGCGGATGCTAACTGCTAACTGTGCTTCCAGCACAGTCTTCTCTCATTGTGGACTCATAGGGCGATCTTGGGAGCCTCTTCGTTTACAGGACTTGGACCGCCAGGCCGTTATAGGCACTTTTTCAACCCTTGGTGTCTGAGCTGGCACCGGCTCGAGCTGAGGAAACTACAAGCCTACAAGCTGGCGAAGCCTCGCTGGAGTCTGTGACTCAAGTGCAGTGTGCCGGTCAGCACGAGCCTAATCCTGAAAGGTGGCTGTTCATCCAAGCAGCGTTGGTAGCACACCACTGGCCTTATCATCGAGGCCACACCCTTCAAAACGCTTGAATGAAACTGCACGGCTGCAGCAAAAAATGCCAGGCACACTGAAGACGGACCAGTCATCTGCATGGCGCGAGGCAGCGTCGTCCTTTCCTGGTGCTGTCCACTTGGTCATGGGCATTGGCACGTCGCTTCAGACAGAGCTGCGTGACATAACACCCCTCAAAGGCTGGTTACCGACTTACGCATGTCCAGTGAACCAGAGTGAAGAGTCCCCGAATAGACACCGAGCTCCGGAGCATCGTAAACTGCTGGGCGAGGCTCTCATGCCCTCGATGGACCCAAGGTTCCACTCGTTGAGGCGCGGGTCCTGGTGATTTGCAGACTTGGATACACCGCCAAACCGATGCATGCTGCCTCTAGTTGTGGGACTGCCGCTGCTGTTCGCTCTCCCTCTTCGACTTCGACTAAAATTCCTTCGAGTCGGAGGCATGTATGGCATACACATTGCATGTTGGGGAAGACAAGATGTGCGAGACTGTGAAAGTAAACACAAAGAGGAATCGAGCGTGCAACCATAACATCGCATGGCCTTCGATGATGTTTTGCGAATGTTGGAAAAGCCTGTTTGAAACAAATGCTAAACATCTAGTACTAGGCAAAACGAGTACAGTTTCCCAGCAGCCCATGTTCTAGTTGTGCGTCCAATAACTCTGCGACCCTTTTGCCAAGTCCTTGAGAGAGCTCTTTAAGGCCATACATTGGGAAGTGGGAACGAGAAAGACCAAACGTGTTTATAGATGCTTACAGCGGTAATGCTAACTTGCTTCCTCCTGGACTTCCACGGAATTGCCCAGGGATGCTGCAATGACCGAAGCTGTCAGTGAAGCACGTCGCAGCTCGCCTCTTCACGTGACTGGGCCAAGGCGGGAAGGGCAGGCCAAGATCATGGAGCAAATCATGTGCAATCAGTTGCAATCATTAGCTGATGAAGCTTCTAAAACGCAAGACTACATTTTGCATACTACAAACATGCCTTGGGGTATGCCAGATGCACATCTAAGGTCGGAAACACTCGTCACTGTGCAGCAAAGTCCGACAGCTGAGCCCAAGTCACTGGAGTAGACGCTGCGAGGGTGCTCACGCGATTCCAGCAGCTTCCTCAAGCAAAAAGGTTGGTCTAAAAGTCTTTACAACCTGTAGGTCCGAATGTCAAACGGATGTCAGCTCGTTAGCTTCGTGGCTCGAAGAGCTTCGCTTCCTCTGGATCCCGGCGTCTGAATGCAGTGAGTGCTAGACAACTGGTGCGGTGATCGCCAAGAGTCGTCAGCGCTCGTGCACACCTCGGCTGATGAGAAATTCTACCAAGCCTACACAAGATTCTCTCGCAGACAAAGGCACACCCCAACAAACAGGAAAAAGGGTCAACAGAGGAGTCGCCACTTGAACGAGCGTCAGCTAGTTTCCCGTCAGCTTTTCTATCCGAAGGGCATTTGTGCTTGCAGGCGTCCACGCTCATTCAGGTTGATGTCCGTTGTGCCCTGCACTCGCAGCTGTTGATTCCAGTCCTGGGTACTTTCTTTGGGGACTTTCCGTGCAACTGTCAGTGAATCCCAAGCTCGACTGTTGTCGCTGCCAGGCTTCTGTCTCACCATGACGGACAACAATGACCTCGCCGGCAAATTTCGCGCGAAACATGGCAATTCTCGGACAGAGCACGCAATCTGTCTATAGTGCTTTCGCAAGACGCATGCCCATGACAGAAAGCGACCTCGCAGAAAGGCCGCGAGAGGAGATGGCAGCCTTGCCTCCCAAAGAGCATTCTTGAAAGTAGCCCATGATCGAGTCCGACTTCGGGTCAGTCTGAGGCATGTCACGGCGAGTGCATGCTGAAAGCCGTATGGTTGCTTGCGAGTCCTGGCGAGAATGCTCACAGCCACAAGCGCTGCGCAGGGCCGCATGGCACATCAGGAAGCAGAAAGGCTCAAAGCCGGTCGAACTGTAGCTGCCATGCCTAACTCTCCTGAGTCTACTGACTTTCGATGGTGGACAGCTATGTGTGGATGTGTGTGTGTGTGCGCGCTGTCTTGGTCGGGAAGCGAGCTCATGCATGACACATCCCACTTGCATGCGATGTAACCCCGCGCTGCCGGGGCTTAGAGGCCCAGAGGCGTCAAATCGTGAGGCAAAACATTAAGTCATTAAGTCGTTAGCTGAGCAATATAGGCGTCCCGGAGCAAGTCGCCCCATGTGCCAGAAGGATGCTTGAGGTGTGTGACAAGGTGCAACACCCCATTGATCCAACTGCATTCACGAATCTCCACGCTCCAACTTGAACCGGCAAAGCTGCAAGCTGCCGATTTGCAAGAGTGGCTACTGAGTCTACTAAGTACCGCCAGTACCTGAGCAAGCTTCAAGGCCTCAATGCCTTGGTGTCCAAGGGCTGAGGATCCAGCTTCAGATTTGGATTGCTGTACCTGCCCGTGGATCGCTGACAGCAGAGACATGGTGAGTTTGGGGGGAACCGTGATTCAGCCCATCAGCCCCGACCTTGCACCTTGCAGCCAGGTCGCTCCAAGTATCTGCTCATGGCATACGCCCCAGGCGTCCAGGAGCCTAGCTGGACTCCTGCATCAAAGGTAGCCCCAAAACAGGAGTAGCACAGTGAGCATGTAGCAGTGGAGATAACACAAGAAGCCACGAGCAAGTCGGTCCCGTGGATATAGCCGGAAAGCTCCAAGCTTCAATCTACTCGGATGCTATGGATTCCTGGGTTTGGTGTGTTTGCGCCCCTGTACGGTACGTTGGGAGGCAAGCCTGTCTATTGTGCTTCAGTTTGCAGCATTTGCTCGGCATCCCTGCACGGGCAAAGGCACACTGCGTGGGGGCTAATCGTCGCATGCGTAGCAGCTGCTTGTGTAGAGGATCTTCGGCATTCCTGTGAACCTTCTTGACACCATCAGGGAGCCAGTTGAGCAGAAATGAGCGGGTTCACAAATGTCTGCTTTGTCCTCTGGCATCACAAAACAAAAATCGCTAGCTTTGCCAATCCGCGCACACCTCCGCTAACATGTGGCCGTCTGAGATTGACTGTGAGTCTGCAAGTCTCTTCTGCGGGCTCCGGTGTAGAGCTGCCCACGAAAGCAAAAGCTGTACATGCTTTGAATCGCAAGGTGGCCAGTCCCAAGCATCGTACATCGTCTCATGCTGCCTCACGAAGAGCACAAATGCCTTTCTCGAACCCTGCATCTCCGATTTCCAGCTTGGTCTGTAACATTTTGCAACACGCATGAAACTGCAGCGTTGCCACTCTACGAATCAAAGTCTCAGGCACCAGAGGTGTTTCTGTTGCGTGAAGTCTTTGACCCGGGCCCAGACACTCGGAACTATACTACGCGCGCTCGGTTCAGAAGGACACCATCTTGGATTTCTCGTAGCCAAGTGCCTGTCCAGGAATCCACGCACTCACTTTGCTCGCACTGAACGCCACACTGAAGCGCCATTTCTTTCCAGAGTTCGGAGGCGCGGAGACTTTAGATAACGGGCAGTAAGGGACATGCACCCACATGCTGAGTTTTCCTTCGAAGGAGACCGAGTGGACGGGACTCGGACCTCCAGGTTCTTCTTGCACGCAAATTCGATCATCGGAGGCCTCGGTGCGCGCGAAGCCTATCACAGCCCCAGGTTTCCTTCCTGGAGCTTATGACTTACGAGCTTCCTTATCTTGTGCTTGGGCAGCCGCGGCCCACACATCAGCACCAGAGTGTCCGCTGATGGCGGGGGCAAACACTCTTTGATCCTGACGCGTCGAGAACCCTGACATGACTTATGCGATACAATGATACAATCCATCTAGCAGCCGGTGAACCCGTACTTCCATGGATAGCTTAAGGCCGCAAGACCACTCTTGAAAACTGCCGGTCAGGAACTGGCGGTGTGGATTTGTGCTTCTTGGCAGAGCTGTACATCCAGCGTTCGCGTGCTGCTTGTCCAGCTTGACTTCCCTAACACTACCAGTCACTACCACGGCAGTGTGGGGCTGCGCTACCCTATGTCAGCTGCTGAGAACACTAGGAAACACATTCGGCAAGCAGCGCCGAGTTCCCCTTTTGATCCTCGACTGTCTCTGCTGATCTTGTCAACCGGGGGAAAAACTGTGGCGCTGCAGGTTCGCCGCATAACTTGAAACAGGGCTTCAGATTAAACACACAAGGCCGCATGCGAGCTGCATTCCCGGCAGAAAGTAAAAAATAATTCATGCTGGTGCCGCTGCATAATAAAACACAGCTTCCTTGCGTGGCCCGTCCGCACATAGCTTAAGTCCAAAAAGTGCTTCGGGCAGGCTTCACGCGCCAAAAAATTTAAATTTGCCGTGCAAAAGGAAGGGAACATCGCCGGAAGAGTTCTATGAGCGGTGTTCATGCCAGCTGCGAAGAGTGGATCCGACCAAGCGTCTTAGCAACGGCCGGCTTACATGCTGAACGCCTGCCCGCAGCAGCTGACATCAACAGCTGCTCGGCCCGGCGGCACCACTGGTCTCAAACGGACAGTCACCGAAGAGCTTACAGCCGTCTCCGATTGCTTGAATTTGACCATGGTTCTTAGGCTCCGATGGTCGAAATCAGTCCAGGTGACAACCACTCGGCTGTCCTGTGCAAGAGCTCGGGCCTGTGCCCAGCAATGGAATAGTTCTCAGTTCAGAGCTGTATGCCTCGAAGGATTGGCGTGGTGCTGATGCCCGGCTGCAGCGGTCTCTGCAAACCGTATGCCACGGGCACGTCTGGTGGCCAGGCTTGACTAGCCTCAGGGAGCAGCACAAGTTCAAGTCACCCGGATGCATGTTGAAGAACCCTCCTGACGTGCCTGAGCCTTTGGTTTCTTCTTCCTTCGGCCACTGTGTAGATGGCAAAAGTCGCAGAAAGCGCCTTTCGTGCAGAAGCGTCTCGGCGGCTTGTGGTAACCTCAGATCAGAGAGCAAAAGGCCTCGGAGCCTCGGACGCAAGCGACGGCTCCCAAACCGTATGCCAGGTCGCTACAAACAAGGCAAAGCGGATCCACCCCGTCGCCCATGTGCAAAGCAGAGCCGAACGAGAGCTGCTGCCCTTCCACACCCTGATTCAGGCGCAGAACATCCTTGGCTTCTAGCTGCCCCTACTGTATCCACCAAAACCACACGCCCAAAACCTCTCAACCGATCCGAGCCACGCTGAGCGCAACTTGCCTCTGAGAGCTGAAACCTGTGGCCGCCCGCGGAGCAGCGTGTGCCGGCTATGCCACTTTCATCACTTTCACTGAGCCGCACGCCCTCCACGCGAGTATCAAAGCCTCGATGGCAAGACGGCTAGCGGCTAGACACATTCATACTTTCAGTGAGTGCACGCAGAAACGACATAAGCACTAAAAATATTGGGACAAAATAATTTCCCAATATGTTTAGTGCTTACGTACTCAAAAGAAACACGCATGAAGCTTGCGGGATGCGACGGACAAATGCGGCAGACTCTGAGCAGACTTCGCTATGGTCTCGAGGCCAATGCATCCAAGCAGCTGTTCCATCCCATGCCGGGCAACCTCGATGCCGAGAATACCAACTTGCTGGGGAACTCTGACGGACCCAACAGAAAAGCCGCTTCGCCTTAGATGCATCGTCAGTAGAGTCCCTGAGCCCTAAACCATAAGCATGCTGCTGACTGCTTGCGTGTGCTGAACTTAAAAGTCGTGTACAACAGCATGGCAGCAAGTCCCCAACTCTGCTAACTTGGTCAAGTGTCGATCCTCGGCAGCACTACTGCTGCTCGTGTCGGCATCTGTGGCCTCGACGAAGTGAGATACGGAACAGCATCATGCAGCATCCCTGTTTGCAAGTCCCTGTCTCGCCTTGTCATCTTCCGATCGCGAGGTCCTTGCCGTGTGGGCATCACCCTGCGGCTGACTCGAGGAGACCTGCACAGGAACGCAGTGAGGCACTAGGAGGCTTGGCCTGCACTCGCGCGCCCGTCGTAAAGCGACAACGGCAACAACACGTAATCACTTCTGTTGGCCGCCGAATCAGAAAACCCAACATGGAGATGCAGGGTGAGACCCGCAAACCCCGAAAGGAGGATGACAATTTGACTTGCAGTCGAACCAAACCTACCTAACCTAATCTGAAAGGAACTAATTACTAAAATCCCCACCACCCGATTATATTGAGCCCTCATGCAGGTCCCCCACCGCCTCAGCGCTTTCAGGCAAGCCCAACCCCCCACCGCCCTCAGCGCCCTCGGCGCCCTGAGCGCACAACCCCCCACCCAACTTGGGTGGCTAGTTGGGTTAGAACTACTTAACACAGTTGAGTTGTAATGTAGTTACTCAGCGGTTATAAATCACCGTTAAGAGTATGTTAAATGTTTATCATTCACTTTTTTGCATAATTCTTTTTTCTGTTGTGTTATGTTAGTGTTAGTCCTGCTAGTATTTTCTTAGCCAAGTATCAGCTAACCATTTATAAAAGTCAAGGTGAGTTGGATGGAGTTATCGATGCATACTTCAAGAATACAAAATTCATACATGTTGTTCATTTTTTACAATGAAAGATACTGCTTTCTGTCAGACATAACCCATGGGCCTATATAGAAAATATGAAGAGAATTCATATACTAGTTTTTGGAATCCAAGTTTTTGGAAAAACGCGTCATGGATTTTGGAAGAAAACAGCAGGCAACATACATGTTTGCTTCTTCTGGGAAGTAAATAGTCAGATTTATCCATTGAAAGTTTCAGGCTTGATGTCGGCATACATGTGAACACGAGAGCCGGATGGCCATATACCACCGTGCCCATGTTATCCTGTTGCATTGGTATTTCGAGCAGCCAGCTGGCCCTGCGACTGCCAACCCATAAAGGCCGCCAGCTTGTCCACAGCTTCCGAAGAATTTTTGCATGTGAAGGACACTTTTCATTCAGTTATCAGTCATTCTATAAAAAGATCGCACAGACTCACAAACACACACGCTTAAGCTTTCCAAGATCTGCAGACCAAAGGAAAGGCAGCCGCACAGGAAGCCGAACCCACGAAGAACAACAAGGACTGACACAACCATTTGTTTGGATTAAGAAGCATAAAACCCTGAATCCTAAAACTCGTAGAAGCTAGATCTGGCAAGGCCAAGGATGGAAAGAAGAAGAGGGCCCGGTATCCTCCCATGGAAAGCTTGACCAAGGGCATGCCTGTTCACGATCGGCATGTATGGCTGTTCGCTAAACCACCATATATCAGTACATGGCAGGAGCAGGTGAAGAAGTTGATCATCATGAATTACAAGGGCCGTGCTGCAAGTGCTTTGAGGATTGGAGCTGATGGAAGATAGCGACTGGGAATTGAAATGTATTTTGTCATGTCCCGTTCCTTGGGCACGATTGCATGACATGTTCTTAGAACCGAGGGTTTTGCAAGTCCAAGAAGTTCAAGGATGCCAGAACAATGATCGAGAAGCTGCTCCCGGAGCTCAGGAATGGCAGACGCGTGGATGGGGTTAGGATCATGAAGGCACGCTTGCCTTGCTAAGCAAGCTCTGATCGGGCGGATGTCGGCATCCATATTGATCGCCCGGCCGTGTAAAAGAAACACTCGCATTCTGTGGGTTGGCATAAGCCTAAGCCTCTGTCATCCCCTCAAACCTAAAATCCTGAAACCCTGAACCATCATGGGTTGGACAGCCCAAGTCTGAATGTGTGGGTTGGAAAGCCCGCTGTGTCTAAACAATCATGGGTTGGACAGCCCAGGTCTGACTTCATGAACCATGTGGGTTGGAAAGCCCAGCTGCATCAGGCAAGGGGTTGGAAAGTTTATAGCACGCCGGATGCCGCAGGTGCTCGAACAAAGCAGACATGGATAGCTAGCTGAAGCCATGGCTGGAAAAGGTGCCGGATGGCACGGGGCCGACACTGGAGGCTACCGCCACTGGGACTTATAGAGCTCGAGTCGATCGTACCGAGGACAGAACTACTGGCGAAAAAACCGCCGGACGACGAAGCCACCGACAGCTGGCCCGGCTGGACCTCAGCGATCTGTGCATCCCTAGAGATTGGACAGCCCAGAGTTGAATTTGTTGGAAGATGTTTGAAGCATGTGGGTTGGAAAGCCCGTGATTGAAGCTGAAGCTAGGTTGGAAAGCCCGTCGACTGCCCTAATGTTTCAATTCTGGTATTGAGGACCACCTGAACAGGGTCACGGGCATCCAACGAGGAAACTGCCAAAGTGCCCGGAACTACCTGGAGCTTGGATCGACTATAGAAGATTTTTCGTTTTCTTGTTTGGAGGATCTTTATAGCCATATTACATAAGATGTTAAGTATAGTGCATTTATGTGTTGGAGGAAATGGTCTACGGGAAGACGCAGGATGGCAGCCCGGATTATTGGAAGTGGCTGGAATGAACCTCTGTGGCAATCAATCAATATATATATTTATTTATTTATTTAGAGAGAGAGAGAGAGATAGATAGATAGATAGATAGATAGATAGATAGATAGATAGAGATAGAGAAATAGAGAGATAGAGAGATAGAGAGATAGAGAGACAGAGGGATAGAGAGATAGAGGGATAGAGAGAT